GTATTCTCAATCTTTAACTAATACTTTCCACAGATCATTGACATCAGGAGAGTGAAAATGAACTGCATTTTTTGAGAAATAATAATTAAAGACTTGGTAAAGAGAATATTCAGAAATGTCTAGAGCTGTTAAGACACTGGAGGGGGGCCAGTGGGTCTAAGGCACAAAAGTTTTAAGAGCCTTTGTTTCAAATGATGTATAGCACACATTCAACTTTCACTAGTTTATCATTTTCTAGATTAGCTGTAGGATTTTTCTAATAATCTTTGAAAGACTGTCTGCCTTCCATGGATTCTGCCCCTCTAACTTTCAGCTTGGGGGCTTTTCTGACTAAATCCATTTTGCTTGCTTTGCTCTTCTGAAGCTCAGTGCCTATATGCCAAGTGTTGCTAACTTGGCTGCTCTTGGCATACCAAACAACCCTACAACGATCCCTACTGAACAGTCTCTACTTTTTGGTCTCACTTCTGATTTAGCATTATTGAAATAACTCCTTTCTGAGCTTTTCTTCAGTATGGCCAGGTTTTTGTGTTTGTTTTTTTTTGTTTTTTTTAACTATTTAAATTTTGACCATGGTTTCTCTAGAATTTTTTCATTGTGCAGTTTGACCAGGTTACCTGTGAACAACTGAAATCCTGTATCTCAGCTGCATTAGAACTTTTTTACTCTTTCAACTATAAATTGCTGAGGAGTTGAGCTCTCCTCTCTTGATGTGGTAACCAACACTGCAGCCTACCTGTTCAGGTATATTTTTCTGGCTTGCTTTGTATTCACTAATGTTGGCCTTGTGTCTCTCAATTCACAATTTCCACCAGACTTCTAGATGCTATGGAAATTCTCAGACACAGCATTTATTCCACTGGGTCTCAATTGCCTGGAGTGTTTTTAGCAGGGGATAAAGCAACAGCATCACTTCTTTTCATTCCACTGCATTTCTGTGATTTCGAAATGATTCCTTCTCACTGCAGGAGCAAACCCTGTTTGTTTCAGGGTTCCTCCCCAAAAACACATTTCACTTATTCAAAGACATGCATAAGATCTTTTTATTTAACTTCATCATTAGTGATGATTTCACTTTGTGTTCTTGTTTCCTCACACAGGGATAATTTGCATCCTATTCTTTACTAGAAACAGAGATAACGAAAAAATGCCCCTGTTCAAGTCTGTGTATTTCTCAGCTCCTGACAGTTTTTTTCCCCAAACCTTAGTTAAAAAAAAAACAAAACAAAACAACCAAAAACCACAAAACAAAACATTTATTCACTTTGTATGCTAATGTTCCCACTTCACTTTTGGAGACTGGCGTGGGCACTCCACTTCCCCCAGAAGAACCCACAGTGACTAATGAACTTCGGTCTGCCTTTCAGACATGCTGAAACCCTGAATTTTCTTTTTGCAGGTTGAGCCTCCAAACTAGAAGAGTATTTCTGAGAAGACTACTACTGTTAAGTCACTGGACCTAAACTTTTTATTTGAAAGCTCCCAGGATCTTTTATCTTCATCTCCCTGTCGTCTTGGTCAAATGAGAGAAATCCTCACAGCTCAATTTCTAGTTGACTGATGTTTCTATCAACACAACTGACAGCTTCCCCCCTCCTCAATTCATTACAGACATTAATTCCAGAACTTCAGGCTCTGCCAGATGGAACAGTTATTGAGTCTCCATAGTGAAATGTGAAAGGAGGGACAAAAGAAAAAATACCTAATTGGTAGAACAAAATGCTAACCTGCAGAAGCTACAGTAAGCTCCAAACAGAATTTCCCTCAAGATCCAAGTAGATCGAGGGTCTTAGATCTCTAAGGGTCAATGAGCAACAGGAACAAAACAGATCTGACAGCAAAGTGATGCCTGTCACCTCTGTTGCACACACCTCTCCCTCACATAGCTAAGTCTACTGTCACAGATAGAATTAGATATTTCACTGTTTCTTTACTAAATTTTTGCCACAGTTCAGATTACACAGTACCAAGGAAAGCACAGAAAGAAGAAAATGCAATCTGCAGTTCTCTTGGTATCATTTAGGTGACTTTGACAGAACATAATGCTTCATTAATGCAAAAAACCAATCCTCTCAATGAATCAAAATCTACACTTGGGATTGGCTTCTAGGAAGGAAAAACAAGCTAACTGTCCCACTACAGAAATGCCATAGAAAAAGAAAAGGCATTAATTTCAGAGGCAACAGAGCACTGAAAATGCAAATACATTTCATATACTTTCTATATTTTACATATTATTTGGAATTCATCCTCAACTATGTGATGATCAAAGCAAAATACCAATTAAGAATTACATTTATGGAACACTCTTTAATCTATCCATCACTTGGGTGACCCTGACAGCTTTTACCTATGGCTTCCCTAGCACAGAAAGGCAGGGTCTATGGAACATGCCTCGTAAGGTATTATAGGTACTGTGTAGGTTTGCTGCCTCCTGACAGCTCAAGCGACACAGCTCAGCTTCTCAGCTGTTTATGGCCATATTGCCAGCCACAAAAACCATTTTTGGCTATTTCTCTCCCATGGCCCACTAAACCTTTGTAGTCATTGCTTTTCTTCCTCCTCCTTTGCAAGGGAACTGAAATTCTGGGTGCTAACACCGAGTGCACTAGAAACAGCAGACACAGAAACCTATCTGCAGCTGAAGCTGCAACAAAGATTAACACAGTGCAACTATTAAAAGTGTAGAAGAAAAAAAAAAAAAATCATTGTTTTAAAACTTACTACGTACAACATGTTGTCTATCAAGAGGTAAAGAGATTAGACAGATTTCCACTTTGTACTGAGCCCTGTAACATGTGATGAACATCATCTGCAGGCACTGTTAGAAGGCACTGTCCATAAGATGGGCCAGATATTCCAAGCCAAAGAACTCCATTTTCCTGCAGTCACTAGCTCCAGGCAGAATGCACCATACTAGGAAATTCAGAAACACAAATAACCCCCGAATAGATTTTACATCTACAAAAAGCCCAGTTCTCTAAAATCCAGTGGATTTTCAGAATTAAAGTTATAAATCCCATATGGAAGATCATTTTTATTAGAAGATCTGAAGAGCAAGATCTTATTTTGGCAGCAGAGGTCAAGACGGAGTAAAAGTAAGCCTTGGAAAAACTGTCTCAGCTAAGACTGCCCAGCGCTTCCTATTGTAAAACCATCTCTTCTGTTCTTATAACTTTACCAAGCTATAATTGTTCCAGCTAAAGTTTTCCACGTTGGACTTCTGCCAGTTCTGAGAGGCATTTTCAGAGCTCTTTTTGAGGCTGGTGAAAAACAGACTGCTTTTTGTAGATTAATGAATTCCACTGACCTTTCCAACAGCTTGAGAGCACTAAGACTTCAGAATGGGTGGGTCAGAATACATCTTGCCAGCTCTAGGAAAACCTTCCTGAACTTGGCCAAGGACAAGTGTTTGTACACGCTACTAATTTACATATCCAAATGAGATAAATTTTAGCAATTCACTGATCACCCTATCCAAACACTACGCAGGAGACCAGGAAGCCATACACCAGTGACAAAAATTACTAGAGGTAGATAGAAAGCAAAAGATGCACAAACAAAGAATTGCACAAACGAATGCCAACTTGAAAGCAGGATTGCTAAAGGCCACCTGGGCATAAGAAATGAGGATAAAGGGGAGTAAAGAGTAAAGCTGGCTGCTAAAGCAAAGGGTGAAGAAGCAACAGCAGGAGTTTCATCTAGGAGAATATGCAGAGAAGTAACACGCCAAGACTGCACATTCTGCTCAAGAACTGGAATGAAACTCCAAGCTGCTGTCTAGAAGACAAATGGTGAGGCTCAGTATCTGCAGAACCATAAGTAATACAATAATCCCATGGACTGCAGAGAAGATAGTTATATACTACTCCACTAAAATAATACTTTTTAGTTCACGCTACAGAAGTCTGTTGGATTGGAAGTCAGCCATCCTGATAAAGAACAACATCTGTTTTTTTCCAGCATGTTTTTCAGAAAACCCCTAAGAATTCACAAGTAATAAAACAAAGTTAAAGAAAAATCAAAGACTGCAAAACCAAGCACTGAAAGTCTTTGCAATTTTAATTAGACTTTTCTGTGCATACACTTTATGAGGTGTTTTTGAAAACATAATCACATACTACAACTTTCATTAAAACCCTGGGTTTTCTTGTCCCAAACAGTACTCTGAAAGTAAATTAGTGTAGGATGTGAAAAGGAGATGCATTCTGCAGACCTTTGTTGCAGAATTTAGAAGCTGAGCAATGGAGGAGGCAGGAGTTGAAGAACAAGAAAGATGACTCTACAGATGATGCAGCTAGATGCTGCATTGCAAAACTTCCCTGCTACAGATAAAATCCTTTGGGGATGTCAGGAAATCTCGGTAACTGTATTAAGGCACCAGTATATTGCCAACCTGCACAAATACTTTGCAAAAGAAATAAAGATATGTTTGAAATACAAAGGGCTATTAAAGATCGTAATGGGACAAAATAATTGAGCAGTTTAGTGCCTCCAAATGAGTTCCAAAAAAATTGGGTGGTTACATTTGTTTTCTTTCAATGATTCAGCTCATCCAAGCAGAAAACACTGTTATTTTCTCAGTCTGTCATGAAATTATTTTGTAAAGAACAAAACTGAATAACATCATTCTTCGAATGTAATTGTCCATGTCTTAAAATTAACTTGACCAGTCTGCGGTCATCCTCTTTTAATATCTTTGCCTATACCTATGGAGTTCCAGCAGAGCAAGCAGCTGACAAAGCTGGCATAACCTAGTGGCAGTTGGGGAAACACCAGGAATCTAGTGGTTCAGATGACACAGTCTGTTTTCTAAAGAGAATTTTTATGCCTTGAAGTTTCATCATGACAAATGTGCATGTCAGTCTTCTGCCATCTCTCTACTGTTTTATTTCTTCAGAGTCAGAGGTAAAACACCTTCACTGCAAACCAGATCACAGAACAAGCTGTGATATTAGGGAGACAAAACCACACAGGCCTAATATTCATCGAGTCCTTACCTCGTTTGGTGGAACAGTAGCAAAAGGCTGGATGACAGCTGCCAGGGGAATGCGTGCCTGTTTGGCCATGTCCGACGACGAGGGGAAGCAGTAGGCAGTACACCGGATGTACCGCGGGCTGGCGTGGCCTGCAACACCCAACACAGCATGCAGGTTGAAAGGCTGCTAAAGGCAACCCTCGTCCCAAACCAAACCACAAAAATCAGAACAACACAAAGGAACAACTGCATATGCCAAGTTAAATACACGCTTTTTTAACTCCCATGCAAGCTTCTGCCCATCTCTACTCTTCTAAGGGCTTCTACGTCTGCCCATTGCCCATCCCTGAGGGTAGATTTTTCTTGCCATTTAACTTAAAGGAGAGATTTAGACATAGAAAAATCCGATAATTATTTACAGTAAGAATCTCAACAGAGATTAGTTTGAAGCATCACATCTAAGGCCTTAAAAGAAAATAAAATGCATTAAATGCTCAACACTGAATATAAAGAAACACTGCAGACTGATACTGTTAAAACTGTATCTAATGAGCTAGCTCCAATCCAGAAAATAGTGTATGTGTTAACATCACCACATTCATTTATCTTGCAAGATATAGTGTGCTACAATAACTACAACGTTGCTTCTTGTGGCACACTCAGCTTCCCTCAATGAGAGAAGCTGTGCTGAGCACTGCAGACAAGTCCACCAAATGGCAACAGGTCAGAAATTGGCTCCCTTATACTTCTTTTTTAACAATCAGTCTGCAGCTCTGCTCAGTTTCTTGAAAGGAATTTCTTTGTTTATCAGAACTGCATTAGCCCGTTCTCAGATAATGCCAAAAACCCTTGATGTGTGTGTACATTTTACACAGTTTATTCAAGCACTGATAAATTAATGCTGTATTAAATAATACCACCAGTTTAACCTGTATTAAAATACCATGCTGCTGTCAAAAGCAGCACACAGAATACTGTACTTCCAGGCTTTAGGTTGAGGCAAAGGCAGATATACTGTCCAAAGGGAAAAATTAAGTCAACTAGATAGCTTGTACACTGCCCCTCTCGCTTAGACTTTTCCAGAATTTGTATCTTAAACCAAAACAGTGCTAGTCTTTATTGCTTCTTCTAGTGTCATATTTTACAATTTCAGAAGACTCTTAAAAAGATTTTTCAACTTGAAATTTAAAATCTTGAAAAATTTTAAGTTAAAAGAAAACAGAAAAGTTCTATCAACCATGGTTATTGTTTTAAAGGTTAGGGAAGGCAGAGGAGGTGTTAGCCCAAAGTGTAAGAATACAACTCCCACTTCTTCCTCCCCCCCCAGCCATCCCCCCTTTTCTTTAAGGGGAATTTCCCATTTCAGGTCCCATGTAGAGTAAGTAGTATCATTTGCAGATGAGAAGTTGGAGAACTTATTCTTTCTAGCTAAAATCAAATGTCATTTTTTCTTTAAAAAGACAGAATCCCAAATCAATTAACAAGGCCAGTTACCTTGGTCTTGGATTATGCAGTCTGTGGTCACAAGAGGAGGAACCTGCCCTCTTGTGTTCGTAGCATAGATCTGCCCTCCCCTAGAGGCCTTATCATTTTCAATCACCTGAATCTGAGAAACAGGGAGCAAGAACAGGATGAGAAATGTAAGCCACACATTGTTACGTTCATTAACAGGTACACTAACATCTATGCCAAGTAACACTACTGACATTGTCTCAGAGAGAGGTGCTACAAACCTGTCACCACAGAGGCTTCTGGGACACTTCACTAGAAAACTGAACACACAGCTGAGCAGTAAAACTAATTTACAGCCACAAGCGCCCGTGTACTCAAGAGTAACACCATGCTTTGGAGTGGGTGAGACCTATATGCAGTAAACAAATTTGCTGTCTAGAGTATCCTGTCTGCTAGGAGGACAGACCTTTTCAAGAGAGGCTGTAGATAATGACAGCGTAATTAAGTCCTTAGTACTGAATCTAGCCTTCCATTCCCCCACCTCAAACTGAAGTGCAAAGTTGCATCACATTACTTGGATGCCCTATGCACAGGTTATCTTTTGTACACCTAGTTGTGCCAGATGCTGTTCTTCATAGATGGATGTACAGGGAGTTGACCAGACTGCAGTGGTGGGAGGGGTTAACCCTCGTTCTCCTGACTGGGCTCCATGCACAGGGTGGTTAACAAATAAACAATAACCTATGTAGTAGACCAGCTTCTAGCTGAGCTCTATTTCAGCACTACCATTTAGAAAGCCGCAGCCTAAACCCCTGAGAAAAGCCATGTTGGCCACCAGTTAGTATTTCAACAGTGGAGCTCAGGGTTTCATTCTCTGGGTCAGACTACCATGTTGTGAGCTTCCTCCTAAAAGTAAGTAAAGGACAGCAATTTCAGAAATATTTAATCAAATGAGGCAGCTCTGATCATTTTACAGATTTACTCTAGTTGAAGCCTAGTTTATAGCAATTTACAGTGTTATATCATGAAACACTCATGAGTGTTTTTTTACTACTTTACTACTGAAGAAATTCCTTCCCCACACACTTCCTCTCCTGTCACTTCTGCACAGTCCCTCACCCCTATTTAAGTTTGACACTTTTCAGGATGTAACTGAAGTTATACAAAGCTGTACTTTGTTCCACACCATAAACCAGACCACTGAGATGATACCACTATTCCTCCTCTTCCCTCAAAGAAGCTACCTTCTCAACAGTCTGGTTTACAGCATAGCCAAACAGCTGTGAGAGGCAAGAGAAATGAGACAAGGATTTTCAAAGACTAACTTTGCCACTACTGCTGGCATCCCACGGAACTGTATCTTTATATTGCACATGAATATCTAATAATAGCTAGGGAAGTTCAGAAGCCTCTCTGCTTTCCAACAGAGATGAAAAACAAAATTAGTCACATAGAGTCTACTGATCAGTGTCCAAGGGGTATTTCCCAACACACTGGAAATAATCTGGGGCCTGTAACTCTTTTTTCACCCCCAATGAAGTTTTTGTATTGCAATTTAAATATACAATACATTCCTCAGAGAGCTTGTTACATCTTCTGCTTGATTACTTTTCCCTGCTGCCTTGGCTCATACACTTATTGCTAACTCTTGCACTATAAGCAAAAAGCTTTTGCTCTAAAAAGGTCCACTGGCTAAAGAAAGCAAACCCCTTTCAGACTTAGCTCTGCAAAGGATCAATGTACCATGGTATTCTGCAGTTAACTGACCTAAATATATCACTGTTCTTGGAAATAACTCTTGACAAAGCCCAGATGTTAGCTTTCATAGATGTTGTCAGAGTGCATATCAACCTCTAACATATATAAGAAAAATATAAATCAGCAGTGGCTACAGTTAAAAAGTAAATTTATCGGGCAATACTACTGTAATTATATAACGTAAACATAACAGGAGAAATACACATGGTCATACTTATTCCTCATTCTGAATTAGCTTTTTGCCCTTTACAGACGTGGACCTAGACCGCGTTTCTTTTAAACATGTCATTTTGATCCTCTGTGCTGCTTAAACTTTTTAACCTATTTTAATATTACTGTCATAGTCAAGGCTGTTTATTCTACATGTGTAACTGAAAGAAGACATCAGTTCATGCTTTCATGACAGACCTTCTCCTGCCTTTTTTTTAATTAGACAAGATAATTTTATCCTTCTTATAAAAAGCATCATACTGAAACACTAGGAATGACTGACTTATTAAGGGCACTTAATTGTCTTTAACAGAGGCAACTGTGGTTGCTGAATTAACCTCCAAGTGATTATCAACAAGCATTTTTCCAAAACTCTGGGGACTTTAAATCAAAACCATCACTGGATAAAACAAATATTTTCTAGAAGGACAAAAGAATATTCCAACTTAAGGAAGCAGGGCTGCTCCCTATTAGACAGGACCAAATTTTACACAAATGCTTTTCCCTCATCTTGGTGGAACAGAAATTCTTTCCCATAAAGCAATACTGCCTCAGCAGAGAAATGGAAGATTCCTTCACTCAGACTAGCTTACAGTGTGGTGGTTTAATAGTTTTGGGTTTGTTTTTTTTTTTAAGTATAAAGTTCTAGGTCAAAGCTGCAAGACACAGCCTGATTCAAGAATTGCAACTCTCCAAGGACCTCCTGACCTGTATGGATGACTGCCAGAACCAGTAGAGGTTTGTAAATCAGAATGCTGTCTCCTTGAGTAGAGCACATCTTCTCCCTCTGTTTCAATCAGCTGTTCTCAATTAAGAAGTTAAATGCAGCCTACAGCTGAGTAGCTATTCCTCTGGGTAATAATTAGACTAGTTTAAGAAAAATGGACACAAATACAACCTTGTTTTCTTTTTCTCTTACACCATTCTAAGAAGAGACATGGTCCCACCAGTGCATGTTTGGGTGTGCTTCTACAGCTAAGCCCCTTCAACCTGTATGAAGCTTAAGCATTAAGTATATTCCAAGCTACTGAAAACTTTACAAGGCTAAAGCGACTGGAAGGATGCTCAGACAAATAATTCTAGTTGCCTGGAAAACTCCTGAAATCAAACAGTGAGGTGACTTTTGAGCACAGCACTTCTCAGCATTTCCAGGATTGCAATTTTACAGTTTATGTACGTGTATTCTGCACAAATCCTACTTTTAGAGAATGGTAGTGGCTGGAAAAGACTCCTGGAGATCATATAGTCCAAACCTCCTGCTAAAGCAGGTTCACCTAGGGCATGTCACACAGGATCACATCCAGGGGGGTTTTGAAAGTCTCCAGAGGAGACTCCACAGCCTTCCTGGGCAGCTTGTTCCAGCACTCCATCACCCTCACAAGGGGGAAGTTTTTTTCCTGACACTGGGGTGGAATTTCCTGTGCTCCAGTTTATGCCAGCTTCCCCTCGCCCTATTGCTGGGCACCAGTGAAAAGCAACCAGCCCCATCCTTTTGACACCCACACCTTTCAGTTATTTATGAACATTAACAAGACCCCTTCTCAGCCTTCTCTTGTCCAGGCTAAATAGCCCCAGATCTCCCACCCTTTCCTCATGAGAGATGCTCCCCTTTAGGTGTCTGTTACTAAGTTCAAGCCTTCAGCCTTGAGTGAAAGGGAAGGTGATTAGCTGCAGTGAATGCATGTAATCCTTCAGTACTGCTGTCTGTCATACTAAGAACCCTGTTGAGACTTCCCATTGAAGTGTTTGGAGTTGTGGGTATGTCCTATGTTAAATAAAGTTATAAAGCCTCTTCAGTACTAAAACTAATGTTATGCACTAATTTATCCAAAACTGACAGCACAGAGTACAAAATTTTATATAATCAAGAACCCACAATGATTTGAACACATCTTGGGAACCAAGCCACATTAAATGTAATTTTATGTTATGAAAAATCCCCACTAACTAAAATAAGTACAATAAGTCCTTTATTTTAACCCAGCAGAAATTCACTAGTTTAACAAATCAGTGCCACATTACTTACTGGGCTTGGAATAGAGTCAGGATCAACCCTCTTCTGCTGTGGACCTGAGAGCTGTGCCGGACCCCCAGGAAAAGCACCAGGATAAGACAGTTGAGATGCTGCCATCTGAGGACCATAGTTTACTGCAGAATTACAAATTATTTGAAGTATTTCAGTTGTTATCCATTTTTAACATCAGCTTTTGCCATGCAGCTCATTCTTCCTCATCTAAACGCAACTCCTCCTTCCTTTCTGTTTTCAGCAAGTAAAAGAAATGTCACAAGACTAGGTGTGCCAACGTTAGCTCCAAAGTTCTCAGGTGTGTGTCAAGCAGGATGGCTGCTGGAGATCACAACTACCCAGACAAGGCTATTACTTTAGCAAGAAACTCTCCCCTAACATCAGTCAATGCAAACTGGGCTAGCTACCTAGCTCTTTAGTTGTCCAAGTAACAGCTTTCCTCACCTGTGTCAGGTGAAATAATTCTATGCAGTTACAGTTTTTTATTGCTATAGCAAAGCATTTTTGGAAGCTGCTTATGACAGGCAGTATTACACGAGAAATCTATAGCTTTACATAGTGTAAGAAAAGCTCCTTTCTGTAGTATGTGGTGCCTTTACCCATTGCTAACCAAGTAATCCTGTTCCTCACCCAAGTTAATCTCCTTTTTTTTGTTACAGTCTCAACAGAGCACTGAAGCTTTGAGTAAAAGCACAGCCTGCCTTGAGTGCACTGACAATGCAAATCTCCCCATTCTACAAAAAGAAGATTCAATTTTCCTCTTTTCAAGTCGCAGAACATCAGCCACGAATGGTCACCGTTCCACCAGTGATTCTCCATTTACTAATAGTTCTCAATTACATAACAAACATCCTTCCTTACCTTGCTGAGGATGATATCCAAGCCCTGGAGGCTGTCCTGAGAGCTGTTCTAAGTTCGGATTTGGGGGGACAGGTCCAGGGACCCCATCCTGTCTGGCCACAGGAGGCAGTGATGGTTGAGCACAAAGGCCATTATTTGCTGGTGGTGGAACCTGTGATCCAGGTGGTAAAGTGATTTGCTGCTGGGGCGGTGGTGGTAGCTGGGGTCCCTGAAAAGATGTCAGATGCCCAGAAGACGTGCGAGAGCTTGGAGTAGAGCCAGGACCTGACCAAGAAACTGTATCAGCTGAGTCAAAACTAATAACCTACTAACTCTGTGTGGAAGGTGTTCTATTTTTGCTCAATACACTTACAACATACAGGCAATACTGCATCCCATAATGAATGCTGCTTTATTAGGATTCAAAATGCCTGTTCACATAACAAATCTGACCTCATAGATTAAGGCAGAACTGATTCAGATACTCAATCTTATTTCTTTTGGCTGTATTTTCAATAAAACCCTGCAGCTTGGGTGGATGGGGAAAGAGAGAGGGAAGACAGCCTTTGACAGTTTTTTTTATTAGAATACACATAAGTACTTGCTTTTGAAATAATATTTAATTTCATAACATGAAACATTCTTTTTGACTAATAATCAATTTCTCTTATGTGGCATGTTTTTGTTAGCCTGCTATTTATATTTCACCATGACAGGCTCAATGGAAGATAAATCCACTCATTTTTTTTCTGGATTACAAGCATCTTCTGGTTTTGATACTATAAAGATGAAACATGTGGGAATTATTTTGTACAAACTGGTGAAGAATAGTTTCTTGATTATAAGATCCAGATTCCAATTAGAATTAAGAGGACCCCAGAAAGAGGATTTGGTTTTGAGACTTAAAATCTGCAAATACTTATTACTTTACAAAACCTACTGTTTTTTTTAGAGAAATTTCTCCCCAAGACCTACAAATTTTTTTTAAGAAAGCTAAAAAAATTCATCAGAATTAGATTTGGATCAAAAGGACCAACGTGTCAATACACAAATATTGAAATGCATCTTTTGTCAAGCATGTTAACTGAAAAATAATTATGTCACATGCAAAACAAGCTCAGATTCTCAGCTGGTACAAACAAACATCACTGCAGTAGCTTTATAAGCTGTGAATTTCAGGACTCCATCAAGCTACACGAACTTAGATTTACAGCTAAGTAAAAATCAGAATAAAACCCAACAGACAGGCAGAGTTGTAAAGAAGCCATGTCTTCAGTGGTCTAAAGGGTATCTCAACCTTCCAGCATGTAACATAAGCAATAACACTACGTTTTTACATGACTATTGATCAAGGCAATAAAGGCAACAAAGCCAGGAAGAAAAAAAAAAAAAAAAAAAAACCAAAACACATTTGCTCCAAATACTATGGCTTGCTATACCTGAAGTGCTCTGGAAGTGCTGGGCCATACCTCATCCTGTATAAAAAGCTGAGTTAATTGTGCACTTGCAGTATAGCAACTCTAAGTTGCATTTGGGCCTAAATTAATTTTTCTAAAGTGAAGAGGGTGTAAGCTTTCACAAGCAATTGGACAAACAGATGGTCAGACCCGTGGTAGTTATGCAGGTTTGATTCAAGTCAAATCAGCAACTTTTCAGGCCAGAGCAGGAACAGCGATACAGTATCAGAGTAGCCTGAACCAAGTAGTTCACTCTTACATAGATCTTACAAAAATACCAGCCACAAAAGTGATCTTCAGTTTAAAAACTCATCCTCCCAAACACACTGGCCTCGGCAAAACAAGATGCTAACTAAATTGCATTCCTTTTAAACAGAACAGTAAATTTCACCAGGAAACACTCAGGAGAAGCAGGTATTAACCAAAGAGAAAATGAGTGGTGGGAGGTCATGTACATGGAAGAATCACAATCACATCTTTACCTCATGCCTTAAGTGTGAGACATTTTAACCTCAAAATAAATGCAAATAAATATAGATGAACTAAACTATAAGAGCTAGATGAAAAAGAATAAGTTTCAAAACAGAGAAACTCTAAAAAGATGGGAAAAAAGAAACCCTGTCTGCATATTACTGTTCCCATCTTTGCTGTTACTGACAGGATCACCAGGTAATTTGAGAAATGACTGATAGGTGACTTTTACAGAAGGTTCACCAAACCTTCAGAATTAACAGAATTATTGCCATCTTAACAGCTTTAACTGAGCATCAAACCAAACTGGTTACCATAGCTATTTATCTGCATGCTGTTGAGCTGGGTAGCCAGCTGTGCCGCAGAGGAAGCAGATGCAGTATTTGGGTAAGCCGGTTGTGACTGGTGGCCGTAGGGAGGATAGGAAGGTCCTGGATTGCTTGGAGGTGGAGGGCCTTGAAACCTAAAGGGAAAAATTGGTGCAGTTATGAAAAACGTTACCTCAATCAACTACAGTTGTAGATTTTGTACCTTCTCAAGGGTGGTGCTGAATCATTAATTAGGACAAACTCTTGAAAGAGTTTGCTCATAATCCACTCAGAAAACATATACTTGTATTAAGTCATGAAGCACAGAGAGATTGCACACTTCTTTAAAAAAAGACAGCACATGTTTGTTTGCATACTTGTTAGGAACAAAGGACAGTGAATACACCATGACAAGGAGTAGTAGCAACTATATGAAAGCTTGAAGATTAAGAAGCACAAGCTTCTGAACATGTAATTATCACTCCATCCCCTTTCCATGCTTATAAAGAAAGATTCCCTACCAGGGATAGGTGAAGAAGATTAGGAGAAAAATCTACAAAGAGAAGAAAGTGAAGTGAGACACTGTTAAGGAGTTCCCTGTTGTAGAGGGAAAAAAAGATGACTCGGGTAGGGAAAAACTACTTCATGATTGTAAGATACGGAAAAACATGAATATAAGAAAAAGAACTAAAGAAATGAAAGCTGTAACACACATGTTGCTTGTAAAGGTATTTTCTACCAGACTTCTTCACTCTGGAAAAATAAGATCTCAGGCTATCTTCTAGAGATGATCTACACTGCTTTTCCTATGACCACTTCTAAAACTGGGGAGGGACCTAACTATTTCAAGGGAAGTAGAATTCACTTCCCTTGAAATTCTGATGTGGAAATCTCCTGGCCCAGAATAGCAGCTCTCAGCAATTTGGGAATAAAACAAGATCATGTGAAAAACAGTAGATGTGCAGCTGTCAGGGCAATGACTGGAAGCTAGGAAAGAGAATCAGTATTTTTCTGGGTTGGTCACATCAACTTGGCAGCATTCGTCTTGTTTTTTCATCTTCAGGACAACAGCCACCTCTCCCTATCTTGGGGTCTTCCTTTGCAGTGATAACATACCAACAGCAAACAGCCTGCCCTACTTAGATGCCTAATAAAACATGCACATGGCTTTATCTGAACACAACTAACTATATAACAATTGAAAAGCACAGGAGCAGATTAAGACTTCAGCCAACTAAAACAAGAATGTTGCTAAACAATGTCAAGTTCACTAAATTAAAATAGCTACAGGTACACCAATTTCATCACTTCTGGGAAGCAAGCAAAACAATTAACATTTGACAGAATTAAAAGAGCTATACATATTTAGCTACTTTTCACTACCTGCAATATAACCACCGTGCAATAAAGCTTGGCTATCTCCTCATATAAACATTTTTCCAAGACTTCTTTTTACAGCTTCCACCTGTCCCCATTTCCTCCCTTCCCCACTACTGTCTCCTTCACTTCTTCCTGTGAGCTACAGAGTCAGGACAACAGCACTTCAGAAAAACCATCCTAACAGTCAATCCCAGACCTAAGTAAAAAAGTAGCAGTCATCCATCCAAAACAGCATAAAAAAACCTGCATCATAAAATGTCTTTAAAGTACACTATGGAGCCTTGGTTGGGATCCCACAATAGTGAAGCAAAGACATCCTAGCAAGGCAGAGGGGTGGGAGGAAACTGCAAATACAGACGTGCACCAGCTTCTAGTCACAACTCACTGGAAACTATTAATTTTTAAAATAACAACTTCTTGGTAACTTGCAACAATGGAAAACTGACACCAGAAAGTGAAAAAAAAACACGTAGCTTCTATATCAAACAGCACTTAAAGCACCTTACTGCTGTGTTGAAGCAATAGGTCTCAGATCAAGAAGAAAGAAAAATTAAAATTATAAAGACCCGACTTGCTGTAAATGGAACTTAATGAGATTACAAATGACACTGTACAATCTGGCAGTTTAACACAGGGAACCAGAAGACCCAGTTCAGAACTGGAGTAAGTCAGAACTGCTGAAGATAAAGGGATGCCACACTTAAACATCATGAAGCAGCCAAAAGAGAGGTAATAGAAGTCAAATAGCTTAGATCTCATGTATTAATTCTTTAAAGTCACCTATGCAGCTGTTGCCCTGGTGTACTAGGCCCATTTTGGAAGCTGGACTGGCTGAGTTGATGTGCAGCAGGTGGCTGAGGCCCAACAGGAGCCGAAGATCCAAAAGGCACAGTTGATTTCGACACACCTGCAAATGAAGAAGTACTTTTATGAAAGAAAACATGCAGGCATAAGACTGCCACATAATACAGGTGTACAGCCCTGGGTGGCCCAGCTTGAGCAGGCGTGTTGAACTAGACAACCTGCAGAGATCACTTTCAACCTCAGTCATTCTGTGATTCCGTAAGAAAAGATAAATTTCTGGAACAGACATGACACGAAGAAGCAAATAGTAACTTCTTGGCAAAAGAACCCAAGAGGCACAGTAATGAGGGATGAATGAACAGACTCTGCAATCCCATTTGTGATACTGGCAATTTTTTTTAATCAAATACTTTTTTTTAGATGCCTTAGGGACTACAGACTTCTGTAATATTTTAAATAATTTTCCCCTCTGTCATCAGCCAAAATATTGAAATTGTCCCTCCTCCTGCCTCCCAGACTTGGCTACGTATATTAGTAGACTTAGAGGGAACAGGAAATCTTACTCTGGATATTTTCTACAGCCCCCATTTACTAGTTAGGCATGCTCACTTTTGACTTTACTAAAATTAGACCAGACTTACATACAGCAAAACAGGCTTAAAACTCTGTGTTCTTAAATTTATAGTTTTTTAAGCTTCAGCCACCAAATACTCATATACTTCTTGAAAGATCCGAAACCACTTCACAATAAGTTAAAACTACTGGAAGGCAGAGGAGTGACAAAGACAGCCATGTCTACCTGTTGGATGCGAGTTATATTACCTGCAGCATGGTTATGCTGCTAGTAAATTATGCTTCTGATTCACTTGTACCCCAGGTGCCTCTTCTCATAGAAACTGCCTCCCAAGTGGCTGGAAAGCAGATGGGCTCTACTTACCACTCATTATCCAAATACATCACCCAGTAGGCAAACTTAAGTAGGAAAACATCAACTTGTGCTCACGGGCAAGTTTGATGCTCAGGAATTCAGCAGGACTGAGGTCCTACTGTGAAGGATACCACCCATTTCTGAGCACTTGCTTGCTATTAACATGTAGGAGTTGAGAACCGTTTCTCTATTCCCAGAAATCACCCCATTTATATTTGCCCAAACTAGGTATTATTGTGACACAGCATTAAGCAGTGCTGCTTACAGCTTCCAACAGGAAAGTCAGATTCCCACTACTACACATCCTGCATCAACAGTAACACAAAGTCAGTGAAGGATCCTTTTGCAGCAGCAGTATAAAACCAAGCAGCTTGTGTTGACACAAGAGAGATGCTAAATGCCTTCATAGAAAAGTAGATTCTCAAAACACATTTTAAATCAAATTCATACCTGGTTGAGGTGCTGCATATGAGGAGCTTGGGTCCCCGTAATGCCCGTAATGCAGTGAAGAACTAGGTGATCCAAAACCTGCAGAAAAGCCTCCTATTCCTGGCTGGGACTGGGAATATGGAGGAGCTGCAACATAGCCTTGTTGACTCATGATAGCAATGTTCTCATTCCAAGTACCAGGTCTTTAAGAAACTGCAAAAAAGAGAAGGAGACACCTGCTACTATGCTTCACGCTCTGTATTGTAGAGGTTGTGAACTATGTTCCCAAAAAAGACACGTTTGAGGGCAAAAAAGGACCTGGGAGACATGGGAAACCAGAAGTTTTGCTTGCTTGCTTAGTTTCATTGGCACCACCACATATTGCATGAATTTAAATGAATAACTGAATTTATCTGAATGGGATTCACCTCTCCTAGGGCCAAGGAAAGAAAACCTGTAAGAAATGAATGTGCAGGTAGAAGAACTTAAAGCCTTGAACTGCTCTCTTTACTTCTTTTACTTTCTCTTTACTGGGAAAACCTAGACTTCTTTTACACCTGAAATTACACTGAGTCTCACTCCCCAGACACCAGATATCCCAACAAACACAGTGATAAATCAGGAAAGGTAGAGTGGCCAGATAATGAAACTCCTCTAGCAAATCATTCTCCTGTCCTAGCACATGTATTTTTAGAGGAGGTATGGAGGCATGGCACCAGCCTTCCATCAAGCCTTCTATATCAGCCCCATTTTAAGCAAGTGAGGGAAGATTCCTTGCTTTCAATGCTGGTGAAACAGCAAATAAAGCACAGGATACAAGAAGATCCTATTTCCATCTGTCTTCTGCATTACTGGTGCAGGACCAAGCAGCCTTTCTACTACAGGAGTCCACAGCATGATGAAATTTAGCAGAAGTTATTCCACAACTGAGAAGCCGCTCTGAGGGCAGTAGGGCCTCAACAGTGCCACACGTTGTCCTTGCTACTACCAGGCATCTCTCTCCTGAGCCTTCACATATTGATTCTATTGCTGTTAAAGAAAAAAACCCAAACCAGAATTTGATTAAAAGCAATTAAGAAAAAGTTTTCTAATAATGAGGGCATTCACAAGACATGCAGTTTCTTTCTTGCAGGCAGATTTGGTTAAATAGGATAAAATAAACCTGTAGGAAACTTTCAGGGAAGGGTATCCTGATAATTGCAATCATTTTTAGAAGGAGAAAATTTGAAGAACATTGCATTACTAAACCAGATAGTTGTATTTCTTAAGACTAGTATTCAGACATGAAGCCCTTGCCATCAAGGGATTTAGGAAATTATTGAACTTGTATACTTTGCACCCTCACTAGGCAGACTTCTCCATGTCTGTTTAACTCATGGCCATGGGTAAACTACACTAATTGTTCTATCACCCAATGACCCCTCACCAGCTGAGAAGGGGGCGGGGGGTCTGGAAAAGGACAGGGGACCCATGGGTTGAAATTAAAATGGACTCAATGAAACAGCAAAACTAATATTAATACCAATGCAAAAATAAAGTATACAAAGTTATACTCAGCCCAGCTAATGCACAGCAGTCATAATAAATGGGAAAGGAGAACAATGAATGAGCCCCTGAAAGGATGGCAACCCTCAAAAGGAGAAGTAGGAAGAGCCCCATGCTTGGCAACGTTACCCCTTTATAAAATGAGGCTGACATTTATGGCATGAAAGACACCTGTATCCAACTCAGGTCAGCTGCCCTGGCTTGTGCTCCTCCCAGCTTAGAGCACCTGGCTGACCCCAAACTGCCAACAGCCTGCAGACCACAACCAGCACGTGGTTCTACCCCAGCAAAAACACATAAGAAAGAATTTTTCATTCTGACTTCACATGGAATTTCACAAAAACAGAATTCAACTATATTTCTTGATACCCAAATTAAAACTCTTTTGGGAAATGCTGGTGATCCAAACCCTGAACAAGCACTTGCTACTTGTGTAGAGTTCCGAATACACAGGTCAGGCCTTCCCAAAGAACTAAAAATACACAATACAAACCAGCATTTTAGAAGTTAAAGGTTGCTTTGAAATAGCTTTCCCAACCACTCATAATTCACATTCTCAGACTCGAGCCACGCAGTCATCTCTGAGTACACAAACTGGATGAAATCAAGGGTTGTGCTCCAGCAGTACACAGAAAGGCACCTTAAACTGCATGCAGCTCCAGGAACACAACCAACAAAGTCATGCTGCACTGGCACCTATCAGAGAAAAGCCATCCCCATTAGAAAACCCATCTCAAGGCTTATCATATTAAACACGCACTTGTGAAAATAAACCACTGAACTGCAACAGTTTTACCAATCTTCAAGATATCACTTTGAGCTAGGTACAGGGCTTGGCCCTCCTCTCATGTTGCCTGCGTAACCCTCTAAACCACACTCCTCAGCTCTAAACCACACTTCTCAGTTGCAGTATTAAACCACTTCTGACAGGTAATCTGAGGGAGTTGTCTATTTCTCAGTTAACAAGGTAAACATGGGGAGAAGAAACAAAACGTTTAAACAGAGAGGCTTCATGCTGCCTGCCTCACTTTGTTCTCACCTACCCCGCCCCCACCAGAAAAGACGTGGCAGTGTGAGCCTTAGGTGCTCCGGAACACAGAAAGTCAGCACTAAATTAACAACCCACTGGCACAGATAAATAGCTGGCTTATATCTACATAAAGGAAGCGATTTTCACTTTGAGGCAGCTGTAACAACCAACACCTTCAGCTGTGACAGCATCCAGCAGAAACAACTTCCTCTGCAGCTTACTCACACGCACAAAAAAATCTTGCCACGTCGAACTTCCCACAGGCAACATAAACACACAGAGGTTGTGCTGAAGAGGGACAGGAACTCAAACCATAAGTGAAATTATGTAGGTTTATCAAACACAGCTCCAGGTTCTATTCAACACTAAGCATGTTTAACCCCTTCTAAAGATAGGTATCTATACCAATATAGGATGAAAATATTTTGGAGACAACACTCAAAATTATCAACAGAAATTGACTGCCTAAGGTTTTAGCCATTGGCTTCACATAAGAAACATACAGATTCACTCTGGAAATTACAGAAGAAGAAGATGATGTGCTAAACCCAGATCTTTCCCTGTGTTTGTTTACTACAAGTCACACAGAAAGACACAAAAAATTTTTCCTCCATCTCTCTTTAACATTAGTTTGCCTTGCACCTCATAGCCTGAGCAACAACACTAACACAAGCACTTGTCCATGATTTGATTTACCACTATTACAGCCTGGGTTTTTTTTTTTTTGTTATTGTTTTTTGTTTTCCAGAGGATGGCTGTAGCTGCAGAATGCTCTGTTGCATTGATATCTTTGCAAAGATGTAAAACTCCACCATGTGCATGTAGAAGTAGGATAACAGAATCACAGCCAGAAGATCACAGTCTTGGCCAACTGAAGGAGAACTATTAGCTTTGTTTCATCTGAGACAGTGTGCTTAGTAACACAGCATCCAGGAAGAGGTGTTGCCCCTGCAGAAGGCAATCTCAATTTGGCAAATAAACTTCAGGGGGCACATACCTACACACACATACAGACAGAATGCAATATAACTATACACATCACATTTCGTAATTATTTTTAATAACATATTCTGGAATAAGCTGTGAAAGCTCAAGTTTATTCCAAATTAGGGTAAAAACCTCAAACAGTTAACACTTTATCACTATTAAGCATTTTAAGTCCCTGTGCCACCGCAACAGGTCTCGCCGCCCCGGACGACAGCGGCCCGCTCCGCACACGG